AGTTGTGATCCAAATAGGCCCCTCACTTCAAGCTCTACGACCAATCTTACAGACGTGGCACATGTTTTAAATGGCTGTCATCATAGCACTCTCTCCGTCCAGGAAAGAATACAATTCTAGCACAGTATTATGATTTAGTATCTTAATTTCGATCAATTATAGATAAAACGTATCAAATTTTATTATATCAAATAAATATTATTAGATTAATTACAAAATATATTTTCATAATAAATTATTTTGGGTACGTAAATGTGAATAGTATTCACTAGAAATTTGGTCAAATATGAACCACTTTTGATGGCACGCAACCCGTAGTTGTATTCTTTTTTGGACAGAGGGAGTAATTAAGACTGCAGTCTATATGGCCTAAAATGCTTATTTTAAAGAAGTATGAAAGGAGAGTTAACAAAAGTACAAGCATAAGAATTTCAACCTAAGTTGAGGATAAATAAATATGTATCAATTAATAATATTAAAAATTAAAAAATTAAAATCAGATTTCTTAGGTCATAAGATATGTTCTGCAACAAATAGCCATCATATTTTAAGCTATGTTTTCAATTAAAAGCATACTCAAGATACACGAAGGTACCATACAAAGAAAACTATGGATATAGATGAAAAAATGAAATAGTAATGGGTATGTTTACCAAAACTAGATACACACTACACGGTATCTATTATGCCTGCTCGACATGTTAGAAATAGAGTAAACACAGTGAAAAAAACATGCAATCTAATATCGACAATGATTAGAATAGGGCGTCCGTCCGCCCTGTCCGCTCAGGCACACCCCCACTCCTATCTGCTCGTTTAGAAGGCCTTATCCACCGCTCTATCAAACCTCTGCGTCCGACACTCCACTGCCCCCCCCCTGCTCACCTTCTCCAGCGGAGGGTCGCTCACTGCAGGTCCCCACAGGCAACTCATGTGCTCGCTGCGGGCAGCGTTGGTGCCTCCACCGCAAAGGCCCCTCGTTGGAGCCGTGTAGCCACTCACCAAGGCCACGCAGCTGCCCGTCGGCTGGCATTCCCCTCGCCACTCCGCAACATCAAGCTCCACGCCAGCATTGAGCTTCGTGTCGATGAGCCTCCATTTTGTCAAAGCAGCAAGTAGATGTTGCGCTTGAAAGCGCATGTTTTATTTGTTTCATAGGTATGTTGCAAGTGTTTTATACGGTTGTTGCAAAAGTAGATGTAGATGTTGCATATGTTGCAATGGTTATACACATATGTTGCAAGCTTCTGTTTCTAATGTTTTATCTATTTTTTCAGACGTATATTGCAAGCGTATGTATTTGGATGTTGCATATGTTTCACACACATATGTTTGCCAGTGTTTTTATCTAGATGTTGCATATGTTTACAGTGGTTTCAAGTGTTTTTAGGTGTGTTTTCAAAGTGTTTCAGATGTATGTTTCAAGTGTTTCATTTGTCTTTCAGACGTATGTTGCAAGTGTTGCATTTGGATGTTTTAAAAGTTGATCGGGTGTTGCATCTTTCTCCTCACCTTATGTTGCCTCATCTCAGTGTGTCCTCCCGGCGCCGTCTGGGCATCTATACGACGCCGCAGCCGGGTCCTTCCGAACCAGAGGCGCTGCACCCTCCCCGGCCCTCTTCTCGCTCGGGCGACGCGGCCCCGCGTGGAGTGCGCCAAATGGAGTACAGGCGCGGGCGTCCGTCCAGACATCCGGGCGCTAGCACTGCTGATCTAATATAAGTATTCTTTATTATTTTTAAGAAAAGGTTTGATTATTTCTTAAAAACGCACAAATCAACATATTTTGGCACAACGTATTCGAGGCAGTTAAACCGGAATTAAAGATTATTTCTCTTAATATAGTCCCTGCAGAGAGCAGGGTTGATAGACTAGTCAAAAATATTGTGAAGGCAGACATCACGGCATGGAATACGCCAATCACATTTCTTGTGAGCAGCATCGTCAGCCGACAACTGACTGTAACCGACATCAAACTCATTGAATTCTTATCCTTCATGACGAGAGCAGATCCTGAAAGACGATGGAGCGCGCTTGAGCTGCCGGTGCAGAGCCATGAGCAGATGATGGCCGGTGCGCTGCCTGCAGGCTGCACCAGAGATCATCGGTGCTGCTAGCACTGCAGCCATATGAGCTGCATGCATGCCTGCATGTGAGCAGATCACTGCAGGGCATGGACAGGACAGGTATTCAATAAGATATAGTTGCGTCATGTTTGGTTAGTGGTTGATGCTTTAAAAGCAATGTGATTGGCCTAGGTATTATGCCATGCCGTGCTGTCTGCGTTTCTGTAGCATATACCGCGCTCAACGTACGGCTATTTAAGGACGACCAAATCCAGGGCCTCATCGTCATCGTAGACTATACTGTCACCACCTGTGCAACATCGACAACGTCGTTGGCAACCATCGTCGTCGTCTCGTTGTGACGGCAGTCACGCAGCCATGCAATCGACCTTTGCACGCGACAGCAACCGCCTCGACACCGCGGCTGCAACCTGCACCTGCTCTACAGTCGACGTTCATCCTGGCAATCCCAGGTAGCCAAAATTTAGTTTCTAATCTTTCGTACATCTCTTGATCTGAAGTTTTATTGTTACATACAGTCGCAAATAGTGTATTTTGATTAAACTCAATGGACGTATCAAGCCATCGGAGATAAGATCACTATGTAACCTTTTATCAGGAAAAGAAGTTTTCTCTGTTTGTCATAAGATAACCTGCCCCACCGGTACTGGCACTGCATCATTTCAAAAATCACACAAAACATCACTATTGAGATTGTTTCGGTTCATGCATTTTACGACAAAATTACAACTACTAGAGAGCGAGCGAGCGATACATCAATCGGGTACTATCAAGAGACATACAACCAATTACCAACCAAACATACAAAAAGAAACACATATTCTAGTGTACATCAATCGGGTCCGAATATATTGTCATCTCCAAGGACATATATGAAGACAATAATGAATCTTTATCCAACACTACCGGAATCGCAAGCTTTGCCGAGTGCCAATAACTTTGCCGAGTTTTTTTTTATCTCGGGCACTCGGTAAAGGCTGTCTTTGCCGAGTGCCCAAACTCGAACACTCGACAACGACACGACCCTCGGCAAAGCTGGTCTTTACCGAGTGCTCAGTTTCAGCACTCGGCAAAGATGTCCTCTTTGCCGAGTGCTCAGACATACCACTCGGCAAAGACTTTGTTTGCCGAGTGTCAACGTCTCACACTCGGCAAATTTTGTCCCGTCGTTAAACCAGCCTACCACCGTCAGCTCTTTGCCGAGAGTACAAATGCAACACTCGGCAAAGAGTGTCTTTATCGAGTGTCAAAAGCAGACACTCGATAAAGTATAATTTTTTTTTACTCCTGCACTTCAAAAATTTTCACCTCTCCACATACCACATTTGGTACTCCATGCTTAAGTTTGGTGTATTTTTTAATTTATTTGCTATATTTAACTAATTAATTGCATTTCAAGCAATTTTTTGAATTAAGTTAAATTTGAACCGCAAGTGATTCAAATATTTGGAAAAATGAGTATAAAATTGATATTCATGTTATTCAACCCAGTTTGAGGCCTTACGTATAAGATTATAAGGGTTTTCGAACATCTTATTTCGGAAACACGACCCCGAGCGTGTGATTGAATGGTTTTTAAATTCTATAAAAAGCAAAGGAAGTCCGAAAATCATGAAATTTGATAAGATATCATGATATCATATGTGGAGGCTGTGGTAAAAAATTGAGAAGGTGTCGCATAAGTTGTCACGTACATTGCTTACAAACCGAAACATCTCCGAAGAAGTTTCATGATTGTTGAGAATGATCTAGTAAGATTTGGAGTGAAAGTGACGGTCGAGTTGTGGTTTGACTCCGAAACTTTTTGTATAGCCAATAGACATCAAAGATCGTGTCATGTTAAATTTTAGCGATTTTTTGGATCCATTTGATAATTATTAATTTGTAATTGCAATTATATAAATGGAATTTGAGCTATAACTACATGAAATCATGGTCTATTTTTCGCTGAAGCATCAAATTTGCATTGTTGAGTGAATTTGACAAGGTATTTTCAAAATGTATTGGAACAAATTTGGAAAAAACGGTTAAGGAAAAGGGAAAGGAAATAGAAAAGTTTTTTTAAAAAAATACCTTTGCCGAGTGTCCTAGGGTTCGCACTCGGCAAAGTATAGTCTTTACTGAGTGCCTTATCGGCTTGACTCTCGGCAAAGATTTTTAATGTCTTTTTAAAAAAATCCCGGCTTTGCCGAGTGCCGGATCGCGGACACTCGGAAAAGGCCTGACCCAGGACTTAACTGCCACGGCCGAGACTCACTCACGCACGCACGCACGCCACCGCCCCGCCAAAAAGTGCAGCGCCGCCGCCTCCTCCTCTCGCGCCCCCTCTGCAACCTCCCCTCCCTCGCCTCCTCACCGCCCCTACTAGCGCCACCCCCCGCTGCCCGTCATCCTCGCCGCTTTTCTCTCCCAGCTTGTGCCCGCCGTGCCCGCCGCGCCCGTGGCCGCGCCGGCCTGGCCGCTGGCATGCCCCTAAAGCCGCCTCCTCCACCGGTCGCGCCCCTGCCGCCTCACCGCCCGCCCGCCTAACGCTGCTCTGCGCTGCGCCGCCCACCACCCGCCCACGCCGGCCGATCCCGCCGGCGGCCCGCCGCCTGGACTCGTCTCGCCCGCGGCCGATCTCCTCCATTCGCTCGCCGCGCCGCAACCCGGAGAGGAGACTAAGCTCGGTCAGGCCCAGCGTCCTCACGACCATCTCCGGCACGGCGTCCGTCCTCTGCAGCCCCGGTAATTCGGTTGTGCTAAAACTTGTCTATACAGTTGCGTGCAGACCATGCATTATTCCTTCCTGAAATTAATTTGTGCTAAAACTTGTCTATTACATTTTCTTGCCTGTAAACTATGCTGTTGCAGTGGATTTGTTAAATTAAGAATTTCTCCTTAGCGTTTATGCTTCTTAATGGTACAAACCGTCTAAAATATTTGAAAGGCACCTAATGGGTTCGCTGATTCGGTGGACAGCAGTTGCCCGAACCCCCCCAGCCCCTGTCGAAAAATAAAGATTTCCACGTCAGCCTCCAGCAAAATGAAGTGGTTCCTTCTATAATTACGTCGGCCATTTCAATGAAACAGTTCAACTAAGAAGAAACGAAGTGACAGAACTAACCGGTGGCAACTCTGAGGTCTTGTATCCGATGCGCTTTACTGTTTGTTGCAATCCTTCCTGGGAAAAAGAAAATAAGAGAGAAGAGAATCAGACGAAAATGGCCTTTGCATACCAGCAATGCTATTGAGGCAAATAATGACCACCACTTGGAAGTTAGAATGCATTGCTCATGATCCAGGGATCCTATCACTCAAAAATATCAACAACAAATTTCTTCTCCTTGCTTTCTTTCTGACAGTTTGACATTTGGGTTTGTCATGGAGACAAAACAAGGGGGCTTCAGTATGAAAAAAAGGAGCTAGATATATTGAAATCATGTTTTAGTTCAATTGGGATTAGGTAGTGCAATGCACTGTAAACGAAATATACATGAAATTCTTCTTATTCTTATTCTATCTCAATTTGTTTTACTATGTGCACTTCCATGCACAGTAAAATTTTACCAGCACAATGAGCTTTTTATATTGGCCATAATAGTCGTTTACCAAGAAACAAGAAATGAATAGTGTACCATACTTACTATCAAAGTATATACCTATAAGATTTATACAATAATAATGTAGGAAACATGACGTGAAGACTAAAAAATGCTGGCACCAAAAATGGGCACACTCACCAGCTGTTCCGGTAGCTTGTCAACCCTTTTTTCTATGAATTGGCAGAGATAATCCACCGCCACACATGAATAATTCTATTGATAAGATATTGTTAGTCATCATGGAAGAAGACAGTAGTTTACTGCACTTAGTTTGTATCATGCATTGAGGAGGAAAGACAATGGAATCCTCTACTTCCACTACTGTATGAGAAATTGAATCTGATCCAAAACACAAAAGCTTGACACTAAAATTGCTGAGTGTTCAACTCGAGAAATTCAATATTATGCCAATACTGCTCCGATAAGGATAAAGTTTACCTGTTTTGCTTCAATTGAATCCATCTTCTCATCCTGCACAACAGATAAATTTATGCTAAGACAACTGGAAAAACTATAAAACCAGTATGAAGCAAATGCAAGTTCAATATAAGCTCACCAGGCCTATAACCATATTTTTTTTGTTATCCATGTCTGATCCAATGTTCTTGATTTTCAACTTTGCACCAGTAGCCTGAATGAAGAAAAGCGGATATATGAGATTATACACAATACACTAAAGACTCCATCGTCTAGCTCATTCGCATTAGCAGCTGAGTTTGTATAATCAACGAATTATGCAAAAATAACATATTAACATTTCAGTTCACTGTAAGGTTTTGACAGTGTAGATCACTGTAAATAACTCATGGAAACTAGCTTCACAGTTGTACATACGTTTCCAAATCTGTTCTTTCTGTTTGAATGAACATAAAACATCCGGGGTTCTCTTTCAAGCAAAAGATATTGAATTTCAAAGTACCTGATCTCTTATTTGCACCGAAATCTCCTTCTGCTGTTCCAATTTATCATCCACGTGCTGAATGCGCTGTGATAAGTGCTTTTTAGCAGCCTGCACAAGTTGTGGCATTTAATACACTTAGATCATTTGAAAATCCCACAAGCTACTTAAGAAAATTGGTATGCATTCAAACAGGGCAGCATTTTGAAATCCGTGTTGGAGACCCGTTTGAATCCTATGCTTCAACCATAGGGTTGATGAAAATATCTAATCATACAGCTATTTTTGAATAAAAAGTGAGATTAAGGCTTGTTTATAAATGAGGACTACAAATCTCCAAAGTTAGTTCAAAAGAATATTACAATTTTTATTTGTTGAGATAATACTTCAGTTAAATTGTCATTCAGCATCCACCTAATTTACTAGACATAGTTGTGCGGTTCAACACCTAAGTTTATTAGACATAGTTAGGCCTCCATCTGCGGTCCTTGAGTTGCTCTGTTGTTCGTTGTTCATGATTTTTTTTCAGTGGCACGTGGTCTATTTCAGAATTTAATTTTTAATTTTTGCTTTGGGTGCTTTGTAATTAAACCTTGTTCTTCCTTAATACAATGAGCCACAACTGTCCTACGCATTCAAGAAAAAAAATAGTAACCTAAATATGAGCATGAAGAGTATCATTATCTATTTCAGAGAGGAATATGTTATCATCCATTTGACAGTAATAGTGAGTACAAGTTGTGGTGCTGCTGTCTAGAATATAATACAAATAATGTTCATTCATTCTGAATAGTAAAGGAAAATGAGATATTGACTTCGCTAGGGAAGGGATGCTGGTAGTACTTACAGCAAGAGAGCTCTGCACTTGTTCCAGATGCTTAGTCATGCTTGCAACAGCATTAGCCATATTGCGTTTAGTGACATACATCAAGCTAGAGAAGGAAATTCCCTGAAAGGCAACGGAGAGATTACAGTTAATCAAACAAGCCCTTTTCAATGCTTGTAGACAATCAGAACAGGATAAGCTCAAGTAAATAGCAAATGGCCTAACACAATTTTTACATACCTTGAGAGACGCCCGGTGGTTCGACCCAGTGGTTCAAAGTAAGTAACTTTACATGCTGTCACTATTTTCTCATTTGTTATGTTGAAACTAATAATTTTTCTTGATCACTTGGGCAGGGGTTTCGTGATTGTGGGTGCAGATGGTCACGGACGCCATCCCAATGGCGTTCTTGGTGTTTTGTACAAGACACACTTCCCTAGCTTTGTTGACTTTGCCGGAGTGTGGCAGCCGGCCTGGACGTTTGCCCACTACGCCATCTGCGCAGATGCATATGATCGGGATGGCAGGATCTACGGCCACAAGGCAGAGCGGGTGATTACGGAGCTGTGGGTAAGTCTTCGTCTCACTACACTGCTCAATTCATCGCATTCATTGGACATTCTTCAAATAATGATAGGATACATTGCATCTACATACAGGATTTCTTCAGATGCGAGCCGGGATGGGAGGTGGCAGCGAGGGCGGCGGCTAACAAAGCTTGGCACAAACTCGTGGGTGACATGCACTACGAGGCGCGCCTCCAGGCCGTCGTGACATACAACGCGACCTTCGAGTTTAGGAAGATCACGAAAAAGAGGCAAAAAAGGAGACGCTGACCAAGGAACAATACATGAAGATAAATATATAAGATTAATACTGATTTTTTCTAAGATTAAATAAGCTTAATTTGATCTACATATACTTGATGTCATGTAGGTGGTTCCGTGGTGGTGCACTGGGCACGAAGACTGCTGGGAGGCAATAGTGGACAAGTGGTGCAGCCCCGAGTGGTGGGAGACGCACAACGCTTGCCGGGAGCGGCGTTTGATGATGCCGGGTGCACCACACCATCAAGGCAACCTTTGCCTCCCAGCCTACACAGCTAAATGGGTACGCTGAATCTATTTCTTTATTCTAAAGCTCAACTATGCAAATTTCTAATCATCCTACTGTTTCTTCCGCAGTCGGCGTCACATGGTGGCGCGCCCGTCTCCCAGTTCGAGGCGTGGGCAATGGCCCACAAGGGCAAGGCGACGTCCGACGTCCACTACAACTGAGAGGACCCGCCCGAGGCGTACAACAACTCGTCCATCCACACCCGCCTCACTGAGTACACAACGATGGCAAGGGAGGTCCATGGGCTAGAGTACGATCCCACCTCCGAGGACCTTGATGGAGAAGTCGTCATGAGGTTGGGAGGAGGGAAGAAGCATGGGCGGTACTGGATTGGCGACGGCGCAATCGACCCGGCCCATACTAGGTCTCTCTCCCAGATTCAAGCAAGGAGCACGAGCTCGAGCCCGGCCATACGCACACGGCCGGACTGTACACAGCACACGGTGCAGGCACTCAAGGTTATTTATGTTTTATTCGTCGTTCATTGATTTTTACATACCTTTGCTTTGCGTTGTATCATTAGGGTGAAATATTGTAGGCCGAGGTGGCGGAAGAGAGGAGGCGACGAGAGGAGGCTGAGGCTAGGGCTGAGGAGGATCGACGGAGGATGGAGCAGATGTTTCAGTATATTCAAGGTCTTGGAGCTCACTCAGGCTATGTTCCGCCACCGATGATATTCACTCCACCAAATGATCCTGCTGTCACTCCTGTGAGTTTCTCTACCTTAAATCTAAATGTGAATGTGGATATGGATATGGATATGTTGAGACAAATGCACCATGATATGTGAATGTAGCTTTTGCAAGGGTAGTTGTCTTTCCTTTCACAAAGCAGAAATGCTCCGGGAAAGTGTGCATTGGCACTCTACTATCCCAAAGGTCCAACAGTTTTAGGATGTCTCTGCCAGTTTTTATTCGCTGTCCGTATTCAAATAAACATGTCACATTTTTGTCTTTTTTAAATTTTAGCCCACGTTGGAGCATATGGGGTCAGCGACTAACATACATAGAGGGTTTGGTGCTGCCATGAAACGCAGCTTTTTCTGGACTTTGACTGAACTTAAATAGAAGATCCGAGACTCAAGAGTCAAGCAAACTAATTAACACCACCACTTAAATAGAAGATCCGAGACTCGTGGCCATTGCCGGTGGCCGCAACCCACCGGCCTCCCCTCTCCACCTCCCACCTCATCCTCTCCCACAGCACCATGTCAAGCCCCACACCTCCAACAGTGGTTCTCGCCGCCGTCGCTGGTCGGAACCACATCGCCCCATCATCCGCCTGGGGCGCGCTTCCTTGTACCGGGCTGGTGCCGCCCAGCATCGCCATTTGTTTACTCCAAATCCACTCAGTAGCTAGCAGCATCCAACGCTGTAGTAGTAGTAGTAGTACTGTGTTTGTGTGTGTCTGAAGTCTGTTTGGACTCTGAACATTGACCTGTGGCTGTGCTGCGTACTTGGTGTCGATCGGTGCCGGAACAGTGGGCAGCAAGCAAGTGCTGTACTCTACGACGTGCGCTTGCTTGCTTTTGTCTGTCCTCCTGCACCAGCAGCAGCAGTCCAGCAGTATATCATCAGCATGGCATCCATCTCCCGTTGGTGTCAGTCAGTGAGATACGCGTGCATGCATCCATCATCCATGATCCATGCATCATGCGCCGCTCCGCTCAGCGCAGCGGCTCTGCTCTTGCTCTGTGTCCATCTCCCATCCACCATCTCCGTCGCCTGCCGGCTACTCCTGTCCTGAACAAATGCTATAGTATATAGGACAGGAGTAAACAAATGCTGCTAGCTACTGTGGATTAGAGCGTACTCGCTTGCTCGGTAGCCTCGTCGAGCACGACGCGGAACCCTGAGCCCGGTCCTTCAGGCGGCGGCTCTGCCGGGGACTTGGGGTCGGCCAGGTACCTTGACAGAGGCCTTGTTACGTACATTTCTTCTCCTCTAGATGCTCTTGATCTGGTTGGCTTTGTCTTCTCAGAGATGGGATGTCCTTGGAGTCTTGCTAGGCCATATATAGTGGGCTGCAAGTAGGATGAGCGAATGCCAACCACTAATATGTTGCTTTTTTTTCAAGTTTTTAGAACCTACCTTAAATCTTGTCTCACACATGCAATCACTTCTCTTTTGTGCAGGGGCAATCGGCGGCGTCGAATGCTGTTCATGGCACACCTCCGTCGCAGTGGGACCGGTGGAGTGGCCATCAACAATAGAGGTAGATGGACTTGTGCTTGTGATGCTTATTTGTGAATGGTGGCACTTGTGGCAGCACTTGGATGATATTTGTAGACTATGTGATACTTGTGGACAACTTGTGATGATATTTGTGGACTATGTGATACTTGTGGACAACTTGTGATGATATTTGTCATGGTTATGGATTATATGTGATGGCTGTGTGATATTTGTGATTGTTGTGTGATATGTGATGGTTGTGTGATATATGTATATGTGGGTGCAATAAACAAAAAAATGCAAAAAAAAAAGCAAATTTCCCAGCTATGCCGAGTGCAATCACCAAGACACTCGGCAAAGCTGGGAGGCTTTGCCGAGTGCTATGGCCATCGCACTCGGCAAAGGCAGGGAGGCTTTGCCGAGTGCCTTACTGGTGACACTCGGCAAAGCCTCCCTGCCTTTGCCGAGTGCGACACTCGGCAAAGAGGGCAGGCTTTGCCGAGTGTCCCCCGTGAGGCGCTCGGCAAAGCGACCGTCACCGTCAAGTGGCGTCGTCAGGCAACTTTTCTTTGCCGAGTGGTTTACTGGCACTCGGCAAAGCCTTTGTCGAGTGCCCGACAAAAGACACTCGGCAAAGAGGCCTTTGCCGTCACCGGCTTTGCCGAGTGTTACACTCGGCAAAGGCTTTGCCGAGTGTATATGGGTATTTGCCGAGTGTCACAGGCACTCGGCAAAGAGCCTGAGTCCGGTAGTGCAAGAGGTCGAGGTATGGTGATGTGAAGAATGATCGGTGCGGGCCACACAAACCATGCACACCTCTCTGTGTTTTGGAGTGGGTTTCTAATATTTTCTTGACAAGTGTGTATGTGTATCTATCTCTTGTCCTCCTTCGACAAATCTAAAGGCTTCTCCCCCCTAAAGTTTGTTCAATTTTTGGGATTTTGGAGCTCAAAACCCAAAAAATTGGAAGAGGAGCCGCGAGGAAGAAGAAGGGGGCGGCTGGGCGCTATTTATAGGCAGACGAATAACAAAGGCAGGTAAATTAAGAATGACCGCCTCCGTTAATACTCTATTAACGGAGACGGTTGATATAAGGCGCCCACCTCGGTTAATGGCTTAATGGAGCCGGCTGCCTTAAGTTGACTGCCTCGGTTAATACATATTAACCGAAGCGGTTGCGTTACGTGGCCCACCTCCGTTAATGAGTTAACAGAGGCGGTTGATGTCAGGCAACCGCCTCGGTTAATGGGTGATTAACCGAGGCGTTAAATATTAACCGAGGCCGTCGCTCGGCAGGTGAGCGGGGCTGGGAATAACGGCGGCGGCAAATATGGATGCCTGCCTCCATTAAGAAAAGGGCAACGCCACCTAAAAAAACATGTAGTTGTGAAAAAAACTACTCCCTCTGTTCTAAATTATAAGACGTTTCTTGTTTTTTTTATAGATACATAATTTTTTCTATATGTAGATATATAGCAAAAGCAATGTATCTAGAAAAAACAGAAGCATCTTATAATTTAAAACGGAGGGGGTAGAAACGAATGACGGCGTGACCTTTTGGGTTCTGATCAAGCATTCGAAGCTTTAACAAACAAGATCCTTGTTTTCAAAAAAATAAAAGTTGTATTTACAGACCTCACTTGAAAATGGTGATCAAAGGCAAAAGCTTATGATACTTTTGGATTTGTGCAGTGAATTGCGGCGGCAAAAGCATACTGGCGGCCGTGCGTGTGTGCTTGGCGTCGGTACAGCCAACCCAGCTAACTGCGTTCAGCAAGATGAGTACACCGACTGGTACTTCCATATCACCAAGAGTGATCATCTCACAGACATGAAATCCATCATGAAGAGAATATGTACGTGATTAAGTTTCCATTCTGATGTTACCCCTTTGTACTATTATTACCATAATATATGCTATGACTGCACCAAGAACCTAGTTGAGTATCATCTCAAAAAAAAAAAGGAACCTAGTTGAGTAATGCAACACCTAAAAAATGTTTTAAATCGGATACGGATTCGGATACCACTATTTACCATATTTTAATTCGAATTTAAATACGAATATGGATATTGCCGGATACTAATGCAAAATGGATATCTCGAATTCGGATTCAAATTCGGATGATTTTGAAGATAGCATGTATCTATTTGCTTATTCGATAGTTTCATAGTATAATAAAATCATTATGAATGAATGAATTTAAAATATAGCTATATAACGCCGTGCATAAAGACAACTACCAAAAATAAAATATTTTAATCAATATTTCAATAATTAAATATATAAAATAAGGAAATTATACATAATATATATTAATTACTGAATTTAAATAAATAAAATAAATTATAGAACTGTACAAATAAAATAAAATACTAATTAATATGATTAGCCATGTTAAAATTAATTAAAATTAAGATTTATATATCGTTAACAATCTTAAATTACATTATCCATAGATAACTCTTAAATAATGATATATATCATCTGTTATGTTAAAATTATTTTTATTTAAATAGTTAATTAGCCATAATTATAATATTTGGATGGTTTCAAAATAATTTGTACTTAGAAGCAATATATATCCAATAGATTTAATTGTCCAAGATGACTAGAGTTTAACGAATTGATGACCAACTATTTCTAAATTTTGTTAGGAATTCTGTGGTAAGCATGTTCTCCGACCCAAATGCGTTTGCTAAAGGTTAACATGGTGCTTCCCATTAGTAGTAGTAAAGGTAATGTGGAAACATGGTTCCCAGGATACTGATAATTGTAAGAAAATGGGCATCTCTGAAACCAACGTGTTGGGTCGTTTTTTTTCTCCGCTCATGTGAAAAGATCACTCTTGATCAGCACCTGATGTGTCTTGTTTACATATCCCAGGTGAGATGACGGAGGTAAACAGCGCTACGTGCAAATGAACGAGAACCTCCTTCGCGAGCACCCGGAGTTGTTGGACCCTGCAGCCGCAACACTTCCCACCATGCTTGCCGTGGTGGCTACTATCATGCCGGAGCTTGTAGCGGCCGCCGCAGCGAAGGCCATCGCCGAGTGGGGCCGCCCAGCCAGAGACATCACTCACCTCGTCTTCAGCACGAGCACCAGTGTCCAGGTGCCCGCGATCGACCTCCGCATCGCCTCCCTCCTGGGGCTAAGCCCCACCGTGCAGCGCACCGTGATGTGCTCCCACGGCTGCACCGGCTATAGATCACCTATTGATATTTGATGAAGTGTAAACCCTAGAACATTAACTAAAACGAGAAAGAGAGAGAAAGGTTGCGGAGGTGCAAACCATCGGCCGCCTTCGTAGAAGACGAGCTGGCCATGAGGTTGCTCGTCGGTGGCGTGGTGAAGCCCGGCGGTGAAGGCGTTGTCGCGGTGGCGACGGTGCAGAGGCGACGGTGGCCGGTGGCGGTCTTCACGTCGCTGGCAGCACCTCCTTTTACATCGGTTAAGGTTTAGGGACTGTAGGTGGAGCGTCTGGCGGCTTAATTGAACCTCGTGCCTTGTGCCCCGGCCCCCACATCCCTTTTTACGGCGTTGTGCGACAGGAGCTCATCAACCATGGAATGGCTGGGCGCCCCCGATCAGGGCACGGATCTAAGAGCTCAATTAGCCGTTGGAGCAATTGGTGGAGATCATCTAACACCGGCAGCTCCAGCGCGCTCCGCGTCGCCAAGGACATCGCCCAGAACAACCGCAGCGCGCGAATCCTCGTCGCCTGCGCGGACATATTGAGCGTCCTCGGCAGCCACGTGCCTCACGACGCCCGCCCTGGTGGAATCATCGCCCACACTCTCTTCGGCGACGGCGCCGGCGCAGTTGTCGTCGGAGCCGACCCGCAGGAACCCATCGAGCGCCCAGTCTTCGAGATGGTGTCAGCGTCTCAGGCCACGGTGCTCGGCACAGAGCACGTGGTCGCCGTCGAGCTCACCAAGGGCGGCACCGACTACCGCATGGAACCAGCGGAGCTGACGGCGCTGTTGGGGGCTCTCGGCCAGAGCCCGGGAAGTTGGCGGCCAGCCGGCTGGTGCTCAGCGAGTATGGGAACATGATGGGCCCAACTCTCATCTTCGTCCTCGACGAGGTGATACGCCGTCGCCAGCAAAACCACGAGGACAGGAGCTGCGAGTGGGGGTGTTCATGGTGGG